GGCGCCCAGCATGGCTCCCGCTTAGCCAGCCGCCGTACCGCCAGCATCCTCCGGACCGATCACCTAGCGCAAGCAGCGAGAGGCAACCATTTTTTCCTCCGCCCGCGAAAAGCATGCCGGGTGAGGAGGCGGGCACATTGGGTGATTGACACGCTCCGGGCAGCGCTAGCAGGAGGGAGGCGGGGCGGAGCGGAGCGTCTTCAACCCCGCCGTCGGGGAGGGAGTGCGCAGCCTCGAAGTCTCTGCGCTTGGCTTGGGGCGTGAGAGCTGTGCAAGTGAAGGCACGGCGTTAAGCCTTTCCCCAGTTGTAACTAACTAGGACATAAACATGATTTGCCGTATCTTTTCCCTTTTTCAGCTGCTCCCCACCCCCATGAGTGAGGTAGCCCTCAATCGTTCTCAGCTGTATTAGTGTCAAGAATAGCATTTCCCCCTTATTCCTGTACTGTCCAAGAGCCGTCCCACGGTGTGTAAAATCTGTTTGGTTTTGCCCCCTATTATTTTGGAGGAAGAGTGTGCACCAAACAGGCTTGTTTGATCGCCCACTATTCAGGCGAAACAAATCCCTGAATGTTTTAGTTGCTCTAGCTCTTGCCATTAAGAGGTTTTTCCTGATGTTTATCTGTAATCTACTTCCTTTTAATTTAAATCCGTTGTTTCTTGTCCTGTGTTCTGGAACAACTCAGATCAGTTCTGCCCTGACTCCTACTCCCTTTCAGATACTTGAAGGCAGTTATTGTGTCTCCCATTTAATTTATTTAAATGTTCCCATCACTTTCTACTATTCCTCAAAATTCTTTTTCTTCTGGTTGCTTATCACCTTGGTTGGTCTCATCTGAACACAGTCCAGTTTCTCAATGTCCTTCCTAACATGCAGTGTCCAGAGCAGGATATAGTATTCTAGATGAGTCTGACCAACGCAGTATAGAGAGGAATGAGAGCTGATCCCTTTGTTTCTTCTTCAGCTGGAAAATGAACAAGTCAGCAGGATCCCTGAGGAATGTTGGAGTCCTTGCACTCTTGGCCAGGTTGGCTTTCCAACAGATGTAGAGGTAGTTGACATCTGGACTACCTTGTCCCCCCCCCATTTTCTCAGCATCCTATCCTCCCTCTGCTCAGCTGCTGCAGTTGATGTCCTTGGCATTTTATGATTCTTCTCTGCCTCTAAACTGCTTCGTTCCAAGAACAACCATGTTTGATCCATATCCCAAACAAAGCAACTCCATTTTATTCTGTGTATGACCAAAACAATGAAACACCTGAAACCAGCTGTGCGATGCATGGAATACTTTTGCAAATCACTACTTTGGAGGTACATCTGGTGACTACGGTGACAACAGAATCAATAGAGGCAGAATAGGTACTGGCAACAGGGAGAACAAATTTCATACCAGTATAGTTTCCTGCCAACTCAAGGGTGGGTGAAGGGAAGGGGGGCATTACCAAGAAGGCTCACCTTAGTTCCTGATGTTGAAATTTCCTTGACATGAGGATCTGAATTCTGGTCTAAGATTTATATGAAAAGGTGACATTAAAATAAAAGATATGAAATAAATGCATAATTTATCAAGGAATAGGGGGGAAACAGGAGCTATTGGAAATGTTCCAGTTCTATTCCAACTATTCTGGAAGTGTTTCAAGCTTACGTTTTGTACACTGCTAGTATATAGCATTGTTCAAACTTTCCTCAGTGATTTCTGGAATGACAGCTTGGTAAGATATTCTGAATTCTGTATTCGAAATCCTGAGTTTCATGGTTAACAAAGAAATTAAGAACAAATTATGAAAATATCCTTGAAATAGAGAGTATTTGACTACCAAGGGTATGATTTTTAAAGAATGAAGCAGAAGAAATTAGTTTTATATTTTTCAGTCACTGGACAGCTCTCTATACTGTATGTTAACTATTTCTCTTTGCCTGCTGTTTCTTTTCTATAAAATGCTTCTTGTGTTGAGACCCATAAAGGCATTTTTGGGCACAATCTGGGTTTGTATTCCATATTCTCAATATGGCACTTCTAATATAGTGATTTTTAAAATCTACATTAACCTTAGAAATCGTACCATAGAAAACCATGCCATCCAAACCTCAAGACATGCTCTCTCTTTTCTTTCTATAAGAAATAAAATTCTCTTATTTCTCAGCAGCACCCACTCTTTCATCAAACCAAGCAGCAGTCGACAACATACAGTTTCAAATCAGTCAATCCTAATCCTCCTTGTTCCTTTGCATCTTGGAGGATTTTATATTTAACCCTTGGCTTTTCCCTTGGCATATAAACCTATAAATATCTTTCTGCCATTGTTTAAGTGGTACATCAGTTGTCAAAATAGGTATTGTTTGAAACCAAAACATTATTCTAGGCAAAGCTGTACAGTAACTTTTGACAATCTGGAAGTATATGTAAACTTTCTGTGCTCCACAACAATATAATAAGTAAAATCCCTTTTAGTAATAATAGGTAGTAGTAAAGTTAGATTTACTTGCTATGGAAGAAACAGCATTATTCAATGTTAGAATTATTTTAATAATGTGTAAACTGAAAAATAATTGAACATTTATGAAGGCTAAATATCAAAAGTTGCTCTAGATCAGTTAATAGATTGTAGAATCAAATACAACGTTAAACAATAATTAAACTTCATGAAATGTGGAGTAAAAGCTTACAAATACTTTCAGCTTAGATTTGACTGTCTTTGCCAAGAAAATGTTCTCCTGCTTTTAGTGACACGTACTGTACTTCCATATCTGGTGCAGAAGGGATAGATCACCTCCATCGAGCGGTTTTAAAATGGAATAATGGTGGATTGTGTTTTGTAGGTAATGAATCACAGTGAAGAAGTCTGGCTGTCTCTGAAGCCCGGTGAGCCACTGTCATCTCAGTGCTGTGGCAGTGGCTGCAAACCCTGCATTTATGACATATATCAGAAGGACCTGGAGAAGTGGGAAGAGGCCAAGGCAAAAAATGATATAAGCCTTCTCTCCAGGAAGAAACAGCAAGTAGATCATTATTAAAATTACTAGGGCTGTGCAAAACATTTCAAAAAGGTGTTCCACAAATTTTATTAGTGTGAATGAAGGCTCCTGGTTGCTTCTGTGTTGAGCTTGCAGGCATAGTTGTTTCACTTCTCTGGCATTCCCCCAAAACCAGACACAGAAGTCTTCCAAAGGATGCAGCTGCTTTAATGCTCTGAAGAGGGTGCTGTATTCAGGCTAACATGCTTTGCAAAGCATCTCTTCTGAATGCCTTACGTAGTCCTAAAATTTTCGTTTATTTACCGCAAATACTACAGCAAAATGGGACACTCCCTACAAGTCTTCCAATAACTAAAAATACAAGGCAAGGGTATCCACTCTGTCCTTTATAATTGCTTTAGAAGTTTTGGTGGACAAGATCTGGTAAAGTAAAAAAAATATTGGGGATCAAAATTCAGGGAGAGGAATATTAGATGAGATGCTATGTAGACAATGTACTATTAACTATTATACAACCACAGAGCTCTGTAAGACAGCTGATGAAAAAAACCGGATATTTTGGTGAATTCTCCAATACAAAATTAATGAAAAGAAAAATTCATTTCTTTGAATAGCAACATTTCAGCCTAATCCTTTTTTTTTTTTTTCAGGTTTGGATGTAACCTTGAGTTACTTGAAATATGTTTGCTCTGAATTGCATCTTCTGTTGCATTGTTTACATTTTTTTCCAAGATAGTAAGAAGTGGAAAACAACATATGTAAAGGAAACATGCACAGAGGAGCTGCTTAGTTTTAATAGAGCTACCATATAGCCCCCCAAAATTAGCTCTTGGCTCCCATCTACTATTTGTCTGGATTTGTGCAGCCCACATCTGATAGTTCTAACTTCAGCTCAGCCTATAAGAGTGCTATCAAAATTAATACATTTCAGCAAATCTGAAGAGCTATTTTGCTATTACTTTTGGAAGCAGCCTTTTGTCATGTGCATATTTAATAAGTTCTCATACAGGTAGTCCTTAGGTTATGATGGCAGTTGGGACCGGGATTGCTATGGCTAAGGATGCAGTCATAAAGCACAATATCACGTGACTGCATCAGTTAGCTATGACAATCCTGGCAATCCCAGTTGCTGTCATAACCCCAAGACATGCAGGTCGTTAAGAAGGAAGAAGCAGGAGTCCCAGGTAAGGAGCACAGGGATGCTATGGGGGGTGCCACAGTGTCACAGGGTGGGGGAGTCCCTGGGAGGGCCGGTGCAGGCCTCATGTGAATCAGGGAGGCCGGGGGTAGGCTTGTGAGGGCCAGTGCAGGCCACGCATGGGTGGGGTGGTGATGCTGTGGATAGGAGAAAAAGTGGGAGCAACTTACTGGAGTGACTTGCAACCTTCCCTGCTGGCTTCCCCATTGACTTTGTTTGTGGGAAGCTGGCAGGGAAGGTTGCAAATGGTTGTAATTGCGAGCCAGGCACCCCAGCGCCCAGATTGTGATCACATGACCACAGGGATGCTGCAATGGCCAGAACCCCAAGGACTGGTTGTAAGTCCCCCTTCTTCAATGCCGTCATAACTTTAAATGATCGCTGAACGAATGGTCGTAACCTGAGGATTACCTGTACAGGAAATCTAGTGATTCGGTTTGGGGAACCATTTAATTCAAGCATTTTTCATATTGAAGGACACCCACTTTTTCCTAGTTTTGGGTTACACTGTCTTGGCTTTCTAAAATTCAGTCAAGCTTCTCAAGTTTCCCAGAAGTGGAGAAAATGCACAGGTGTTTGTGTTGATTATTGTATTATTAGTATTATATCTAATAAATCAATCAATATTTAATAAGTAAAATTAAAAAGTAATTAATTTTTAATTAAAAATAAAAATAAGTCAATCATAATGTATTTATAAATATAAATAAATATGATATTATTAGTATTATATCTAATTAATAAATAAATATTGGAGGAATACTAGAGAAGATATTATAGCAAATGAGATTCCTATTTTGTAACCATTTGCTGTAACCTAGACATCAGTGGACACGTATTTAGTTAAACACACACAGGATTGTGTTGTACCATTGCAGGTTTAAACAAGTCTATTTGAAGTTATTGGCACTTGTGAGTAAACAATGCATAGATTCCGCTGTGAATTTCTAAAACCAGAGGAATATACATATAGGGAGAAATCAGGAGAATGTGAGGGTGAACAAATGAAGATGTCAAGATTAGGGGCTTTTTAATTATTTGTAGTGAGACTGATTGAGATTCTAGCCTGAAAGCTATTTCTCTTGGCCCTTAATGTAGAACCTACAAATACTTTTATTTATTACTTTCTTGTTCAAAATGTTTAGTTCTAAGGCTAAAAAAAGGTTCAGAAAGAATACAGTGGCTTTCATGCTCCGTAAATGATTAAACCCATGGTAAATAACATCAAGAATGTTAAAAAAAAACTTTCAGTTTTTGAGGATGGGGGTAGGAAATCTGTTTTTAAAGACTGTGTGATGTCTAGAAAATAAGCCTTTTACTGGATCTTTACAGATAGTTTTGCCTGCTGTCATGGAGCTGTTGAAAGCATTGGAGTTCTGCCAAAGAGAAGAACAAGGCAGGCCAAAAGTCTAGTGTAAAATAAGGAGTTGCTTTTGAGAGAAATGGTGTAAGAAAGAGCAAAACAGAAAAATGTCTACATATTCTATGTTCTACCATATTTTCTATTGCTTCTTGCTATACGTTTGAGTATTTATGCTTTTACTAATCCCACAGAGTTATGTCTTTGGGTTTTTTTTCCTCATTAGCAATAAAGGCATTGCCAAATTCACTATTATGTGAATAAACAGGTGTTGGAATTTAAATGGGATTTCAAAAGGAGGAACCTATTGTATTAGATATGGATGTATTTGGTCTTAAAAACTTTTTTTTTTAATTTGTAGTACCACGTTTGAATTGGCTCACAGTTTGGAGGGTATTGTTTAAAGCAGTAATTATTTATTGTTGCTCTTGCAGAGTAGCAATTCAGACCTAACTCCAGAAACATTTACGGCTTTCATCATAAGCTCTGTGACTCAATTGACAGAGGACACCTACCAGTACGCATTTGAATTGCCTGAAAACAGCAGCTTGGGGTTGAGTTTAGGACAACATATTGTGCTGAGGTACTGTACAAAGTCTATAGCTAAACTGTCCGCAGTGCGCAATTTGGTTTGCAATTTTGCTCTTGATCTGTAAAGATTTCATACTGAGTATATCATAATTTCTGTACTCCCAAATGGATTCTTTTGAAAGAATGTGTGAATTCATTGAGTTTATTAACCTTGTTAATTTTATAGCATATGCTATAGTTGCATATAGTTGCCTATAGTTGCATTTTCCTTCAATTGTATGTGAATTCATTGAGTTTATTAACCTTGTTAATTTTATAGCATATGCTATAGTTGCATATAGTTGCCTATAGTTGCATTTTCCTTCAATTGTATTATTATTGGAGGTAGAATTAGGTGCATGTATGAAAACTACTCTACAGGGGGAAAAAAAGTATAGAATTATAATGAATTAACTCACAAAGACAATGTGATCCTGTTTTGCTAT